GGGATGCTCGCTCCTTGCCATTACGCAATGCGATTGTCCTTGGGAGGCAAACGCGGGTGGGGGGTGGGTGGGAAGAAGAGGCGAGCAAGGGGGTGGGGTGGGGTGGGGGGGTTGATGAAGCCGCCACCTCAAACGAGCCGGGCGGAATGGAAAAGTTAGCCGGCGAATAGATGGAACAATATCTCCTACTCTTGGCTTTTGAAACGGGCTGAATGCGGGCGGGCGCGCTCGCCTGGCCCGAGATGGAAATGAACCCTTCGGCGCTTCCAAAGAAATGAAATAATGAAAATAAAAATCCATAGGGCGAGGGAGTTCCCCACACCCCACTCCCACGGAAGGGAGGTGGTTGTGGGGCGTTTCTAATCGCCCAGGTAGGGACGTGATACAAAGGAGGCTGAAAGTATCAGTCTCTTTAAAACGGGCCGGGCTGGGCGGGGGGGGAATGAGAGCAGCGAATTTGCAACCCTGTATTCTTAGAGGCTGGAGATCATTGTGAGCTGCAGAGCTGCCACCTCAATAGGCTTCCCCCACGTTTTTTTTTTAAAGGAAAAAGCAACATTAATATGCATTACATAGTGGGGTGAGTTGCAGATTTTTTTTTGTTTTGTTTCAAGGCGCAGAACGATGGCAGTTTGGGGCTTATGAAATGCTGTATTTTTGTTGTTGTTGTGTGTTGGAAAAGAGGCACCGATGAAGTTAGGCAGCCCCGCTTATTATTATTAGATTTTCTTTTCCTTTTCTTTTTAATTTGACATTTGAACTTGCCTATTGTCTGAGGATCTCGGTTCAGACTGCAGTAGGTCAAGCTAAAGGCTGCTCTTTTTGGAATTTCACAGGGACGCGCTCAGGCCGCCTGCTCGCCTTCCGGGAAGGCGAGAGGAGGGGTAGCCTTTGCTGCTGGGGTGGGGAGGAGATGGGGGTGGCGGGGGGCCTCTTGCCAGCGCCGCCGCCACCCCAGTCGAAAGCAGGACAAGGCTGCGATTCTCAACCTAACCTATCCCCTCCAAATGCATATATATGTACATACAGTTCGAGAAGAGGTAGGGAATGGGTAATATAAACGCTGCTAGGGAAAAAACTAGCCACCATATTTGGTGAACTCCAAGAAGACCTATGGAACAACAACAAAAAGTTAGGATCAAAGAATAGTTCCTTCCTCTCTGGCGGATTCCTCCCCTTCTCAAGTTTGGCCAGGAACAAAAACGTTGTTATTCTGCAGCTAACTAGCTGGGGAGAAAGGAAGGAACCTGAGGTGGCGAGAGGCTTTCTGAATTTCTGTTTTAAGAATGGCTAGCCAATCCCGCTTTTACTCAGAGTAGGCAACAACCACCCTCCTGAAGATGGCAGGGCTTTAACCGTGGTGCGCGCTCTCTCTTTAAAATATTTTTTTTTGCAGTTGCACATGTTTCTATTGGTGCGAATCTAGTCCATCCCCCCCCCCCGTGCTAAGATGAATCGGTGTGAATTGCTTTTAACTTCTGCCTCTCTACAAAGAGAGGCGCAGGACTGTGGTCTTTCTCTGGCTAGCAGCCACTGCTGCCTCCCCCCCCCCCAAGGCCAGATTCTTCTTCTTCTCTTCTCCTTCTTCTTCTTCTTCTCTTCTTCTTCTTCTTCTTCTTCTTCTTCTTCTTCTTCTTCTTTTTTTCTTCTTCTTCTTCTTCTTCTTCTTCTTCTTCTCATGGCCATCACTTTCCCTCCAGCCCCGCCGAGCTGCTCAGAAATGGCAGGGCGGCCTGGAGCAGAGGAGGCAGCGGGCAGGGCGAAGGCGCAGCCGCGGAGGCGCGGCGAGCAGAGCGGCGGGGCAGGGGCCAAATCGGCGGGAAAGGCCCATTTGGATGAGAAGGGCAATGTGAGACCACCTGGTGGAGTCGATGGAGTCCTCTCTCTTCAGCCTCGTTCTCCCCACACGCTGTTGCTTTGAACAGGGTGGCAACTCTGCACACACACACACACCACACACACACACAGAGAGAGAGAGAGAGAGAGAGAGGGACCTCCTTTTGTGAGGGGAGTTCGTCTTCCTCAGGCTTTGTCACGGCGCCATGAACGCCAACCGCGCGCTGCTTCTCCCAGCTCGCCAGAATAGCCTTTTCAAGGCGGGGTGGGTTGGGCCCCAATGGGCTCTTCCTCTTTTTTCTCTGTCCACCCCCCCTCTTTTTTATTTTTAAGGAGGGAGAAGGTAGATTTCAAAACCCCGAACTGGCGCTCGGCTTCTGTGAAGAAGCGCATGGAAGGCAGCCTCAGAAAGGTTTGCTTTCCCTCAGAAAACAAAAGCGCAATGTTTTCCTCAGGCCTCATTTGTGGCGACTGGCCTGTACCAAGACTGGCGAGTGTAGGAGGCGGTAGCCGAGCTTGTTCTTGAAAGTTGAGGGAGCCCCAGTGGACCTGTGCGCGTTTCTGTGTGTTATAACAGGAGGAACTGGAACGGGTTCCTCAGCTTACCTGAAGGCCCCCCCCCCACCTCCGGTTTTGTTCCACCCACCCGCCCTGCTGCCAGTGGAGCAGGCTGCCGGGAAGGCTATTCTGCCGCAGACTGCTGCTTCTGGCAGCAGGGCAGGAAGTATTACTGGCCGTAGCTGATTTCTGGACCAGGAGAGCTGAGATCGTTTTGCTGAGGGACCTGCTGTGCTTGTGGTGGTGCTGCTGGGGACACCCACATACCAACCAATGGTGTGAAGGGTGTGTGTGACAAAAGGGACATCGATAGAGTTAAGCGAGGGGATATGGGATATGTGTGTGGTTGGGGGGTAGAGGGGGGAGGAGAAGGAAGAAGAAGAAGAAGAAGAAGAAGAAGAAGAAGAAGAAGAAGAAGAAGAAGAAGAAGAAGAAGAAGAAGAAGAAGAAGAAGAACGTTCTGGGGCTGCACAATTCTTGGGGTTGCCGCCTGGGCGCGCTGACGGCGTGCGCACAAACAGGAGGCCAGGATTGCGGGCCCCCCGCTCCTCCTTCTAAAAATGTTGCCACCGCGTCTGAAAAGGCGACTTTTCTCTCCCGCCCAATCCCCCCACCCCACCCCCCGGGCCGCAATCCCCGCCCAGCTCCTAAAGGTGAGTGCAGATTGCAAGAGTTGCTGCTCTGTTTTTTGTTTGTCAAACAGGAGGCTTCTCCAGGGAGAAGGGCATTTGTGGAGGGATCCCAGCGCAGGATTACATTAATCAAGGCATTATTTCCCCAGGGATGCGCGGCGCAAATTAGAGTAAATCCTAATAAAATTGGATCGCCGACAAACGGAACGCTTAAAGTAATCTGCCCCTCCTGCCTTCCTTTCTTCTCTCTTGTTTATTTTTTCTTCGAGGCTCACAAATCTTTTAAAGGTATGGCGCTTGCCCTGCGCGGACAGATACCCACCCGCGCGCTGCTGCCACAGGCCGCCTTCCTTTCCACAGAGCCTCTCTATAGAAGGGCTGCTGTCAGGGGCCAATTAGTCTCCACGTCTCGGAGCTCCCACTTCCAAAGCGGCGGGAAATAACATCCCCTCAGCCTTCTCTGTGAGGCTTCCCTTCTCCCCAGCTGTTATTCAGTCGAGGTTTCCCACCGGTGCCACCGTGGAAGGGGGCAATGGCGGCGGCGAAAAGGCCGGGCCCCTTCCTCTCCCCCCCCCGCTTTCTTCCCCTCCGCCTGCCTTCGGTGTCCTGAGGCCGAGAGCGAAGCCAGCCAGCCCAAGACCGACGCCTCGCCGCTGGTGTTTCTTCGCAGTGAAGTTGCCAGAAGGCGGATGAGGGGAATGACGGCGGGCGCCAAGAGACTAGTCCTCTGCGAACACCAGACATATTAGAGGAGCGCGGGCTGAGGAGAGGCGGGCTGTGAGTGTGGAGAGCTGTGGAGTCTTCTCGCTGGAAACTCTTTAAACAATAAAGAAATGAAAAACCGTGTCTCCCTCGTGTGTGTGTGTGTGTTGACGGGAGGGGGAAGGAAAGGCAGACTTTCTCTTTAATCTTTTGGATTTAATCTCCGCTTTCTCTCCCTCAGTCTCTCCACCCCCGTCCCTCCAGGGAGGGAAGCCGTCCATCCCTCAGGGAGCTGGCAGTAGCCGGACCTCCTCCGACGACGGAAAGGCAAACAAGAGCGGCAGATGCGCCTTTAATTGCTTTCCTGGGCTCTGCCTGACCCTTGCTGGAGGCTTCTGGGCTGCGAGAGGGAAAGAGAGGCAGCAGCGAGCGAGCGGGCGGGAGAGCAAGGCAGGCAGGCAGGCAAGCGGGAAGATAAGCTTTCCCCCGACAGACAGCGCCAGTCCAGTCAAGCTAAACACCTCGCTGAGGGAAAACTAGCGCGCGCGGCGTGCCAGGTAGCCCCACCCCACCCCCACCGCCTCAGGAAAGGCGAGGAGCCCCCTCCTCCCGCCACCCCACCCCCGCCACATTCCCACACGCGATGTTGCCAACGCATCTTTCCCTCGCTCTCTCTCTCTCCCCCCCCACCCCGCACCTCCCGCCCAAAGCGACGACGCAACCAATTGGCCAACCTGAGTCTCCCATTTGGGCTGGTTTACTTTCCAGAGTTCAATTCTCCGCCACCTTCCCTCTCCGCCACACACCCCACCACCACCACACGCGCGCGCGCTGCCTCGGACGCCTCCTTCCCTTCCCTTCCCCTCCCCCCCCCCCAGCTCCCGTTGCCGCCGCCGTCGAGCTTGGTTTCCTCAGGGTCGAGGGTGGTGGTGGCGGTGCCCCCCCCCGTCAGGAAAGACCGAGGTCTGAGCGTGGGGGAGGGGAGTCTCCGTTTTACCTGAGGGAGGGTGAGGGGAACCAAAGAAGGAAGGGGGGAAAGAACACACACACACACACACACACACACACACACAGCCTGTCGTTCCCCTTCCCGCCTTCTCTCCGCTCGCAATCCAGCCGGACCATTGGACCGACTAGCCCGCCTGCCTGCCGCCGCCGCTCTGCAGCCCCTTCGCTCCCGCCTCAGCCGAGGAATCTTGCCGCCGCTCTTGCCGCTCGCTTCTGCCTGCCGCCGCCGCCGCCGCCTCTAACCCCAGCCGTCGGCTAGGCTAGGCTGGGCTGGGCGGTTCTCCTAGAGCAGAGGCGCGAGGCGCGCAGCCCCGGGACTCGGCTCGCCGCCGCCCGCCGCGCGCGAGTCACCCCGGCTGATGACGGATCATTAAGAAGAAGTGGCCTTAGCGCCCCGTCCTCCCCCCCCCCGCTCCCCGCCACCTGGCGCCTCTCTTTTAGAGCAGAGGATGCGCGCGGAGAAGTGGCGGAAGAGGGGCGTGTGTGTGCGCGCGCGTGTGAAGATGGTGATGGAGATGGACCGGGAGAGGTAGGCGAGTGGGAAGCGCTCCTCTGATCCCGACGATTCCCCTCTCCATCTCCTCCCATCCCCCCACCCCGCATCATTTTAAAAAGCAGCCCTTTCCTAAAATTTGGTACCCAAGTTTGACTGCACTCTCTCCCCCCCCCCCGCCTCCCAGCCATCCTCCTCCTCTCCCGATCCCCAACTGCAGGCATCTATTTCTCTCTCTATATATATCAAAGGAGACTTCACTAGTTTCTCCTTGACAGGGGCTGATCTGTTAACCCAGGAACTACCTAGAAGGTTGGTATCATTGTGGAAGAAAATCCTTCATTTCCTGTGTGCTCAGTAAGTTTTTTTTTTAAAACCAACAACCCCCCTTTCCCCCAATTTATTCTGTTTTGTTGTACATTTGCTTTGCTTGTGAGCTTTTAATGACATAAAAACACTAAATGGAAAAGGAGACATTTGATTTTTGTGTTGGTATGCTAGAGTTTTTTTATATATCTATATAGCTATATCTGCGTTTTAAAGTTGTGGCGTTTGAAGACTTGGTAGAAATGTGGAGAACATTTTATAGCTCATATATGGAAATATTGCATTTACTCTCACTTACCAATAAATCTATGATTTATTTCAATCATGAAAATAATTTGTGAGTTGCTTCCAGATGAGTATATATAATGTGTATTATTTTGTTTTAAAATCCAAAGTACAGGGAAGGATAGACAAAGACTTACCTGTTACACATTAAATATAGTTCTGCATTGAAACAGATCACAGCTTTGTAATTCTATCTGCATGCCACCTTTGAGGGAAAATACTTTAAAAAATGCATTTGTAATTTTCCCATTGTCTAATTATAAAATTATTCAATGCTTAGATATGTATTTTTTCTAGTATATATTAGCAAATAATTTGGCAGGTAGTAATTATCATAAAGTTGCTGGCACTTGTTCACTGGTTAACATTAACTTTCCAACCTTTTTGGACACACTTTCCACTTAAGGCTAGCCATATTTGCATTATGCTTGGCTGCATATATATCCTAGCAGGGTCTGATCTTAGAGTTAGTCCTTACTCATTTATTTAGAAATTATATTGAAGTAATTTACCTTCGGGCATCAAGAAAAAAAATGATCTAATCTCAGTAACCAAGGAGATATGAAACATCTCACTGAGTTTTTTCAGCTATATTTTTGAGGCAATCACACAGTCACTAAGGAGTAGTAGTAGAAATTTAATAATGAATTCAACAAGGTGCTTATTTAGTAAGATAAGTGCGAATGAGGCTAGCATTCTCATATTTATGACTAATTTAAATAGAGCTGTTAACTTACAGAAGGCTTAAAAAACGTATACCCAACTTCATTCTACACCCAAACACATTAAAATAAATAAATAAGCAGATCTCCAGAATTAGGCTAGATAACATAGGTGGGAAGAAAAAAAATAATGCATAAGAAAATAATGTAAACTTGCATATCCTGATACATTCAGCATGGTTCTGGCATAAGTAATTTAGTGCAGATCTGTTTGCTTTAACCACACAGATATTACAAAATGAATTAACAGAACAGTTGTACTGAGGGGGGGACCCCATATTTTTCCTTTGAAATATGAAGTGCAACTAACTTGAAATGACACATGGAAGCCAGTGAATAAATCATGGGAAATATTAATATTTGAAATGTATTGTATTTAAAATTAATCAGAACTTCACCCCACTCCACTTTAGCTACCTTTTTCTTATCTGTAAATACCTCACTTCCATCAGTTTGATTCAACATTTTGCCATATTTTTAAAAGATATATGGAACCATATCTTGACACCTTGATCTTAACACTTTGACTGGGGAGTAGTTCCCATTGATTTAAATGAAATTTATTTCCAAGTTGAGTGGCTTAGTATCACAGTCTTGATTTTATTTTATTTTTAAATAAAACCCCGCAAACCTTTGAAAGTCAAATGTAGTAAGAATGACACAATATTAGAAGCAGTAAAAACTGACAACAATCCAGCACAGAATTTGGGGTGCTTAAGCCAAAAGCATGTCCAAATCTGTGTTAGATGGTGATGCTTAATTTTATTTTACACTTCACTAGAAGGAAAAGAATTTGGAGGAGTCAATGCACACAAACACAACACTCCAATCTATTCTTATGCTATCCATAATGTAACAAATATTATAGAATGTATTTTATAATTAGACTTATGTAGAAAGGGATGGCATGTTATCTTACCTATATAAATACACCTTATTATGTGTAATATCCAATATTCCCCCTCTCCCTATATGTAATATATTTATAGTGCAGCACATTATTTTTGTACATTACGGCTATAAACCAATTAACTGAAATTCATCAGTAAGTGGTGGCCTCAATACAATACATTGCTTAATATGCTGTTATATGTTGCAACCACCACAAAGGAAGAGAACACTTTTTTGTTAATGTATTTCACAGCAAAATGTGGATCTGGGTTATGAGGTTTAAAAAAGTGCATTTGCAATTATGATTATTATTTTTAAGTTTAATGCTCCTTATAGTGGCAAAGTGATCGCAGCAAGAGCTTCCAGCACAATGGCTCAAAGGTTAAATCCAGAACGTTGACAGCCATAAGGCAATCAGAATTTTGCCGTTGATTCCAGTGGGATGGCCTTGTGTTCTTATTAGGGGTACTCATGATATCACTGTTCATCTGCATCAACTTTCTGGCCTTTATTGGTCTTGTAGATTTAAGCCTAGCTCCTTTATGTATGTATTCATTAGGTAGGACTAGTTTCCTCTGGACTTAACTGTTAAAAGCAACATGATACTTCTTTGAGCTGGAAGAGAAACTTTTGGTTCCACTCAGCACTCCAGCCACAGTGTTTCAATAGGGTCACAGTTGGGGCCTTATCTTTATCCTGCTGAAATCTAAGAGAATCATGCCTTGATGATCTGGCTTCTCAGACCTAAACATATTTTCTGGAAAATAAACACTGCAGATTTTTTTTTTTTATTCCACGTATGTGTGCATAGAATTTCACTTGAGGTTTGTCTTCCTTGTCAGTGAGTGTGTTTAGTCAAAGCATTAGGAACTCTGTGTCATGGTGTTAAGCTCACAGAAAGTATTTACAAGAATGGCCCTGGGCACTCGTCTCCTTTACGTAAAGGTTTTATTTAGGAAGCAAGCAGAAACGACAATAGAAAAGGGGAACACGTGCAAAGACCTGCTGCAAGGAGGCAGAGGACTCAAATCTAACAAGATAGTATCACATGATGTGGCACACTGTAAGAAATATTTGCTTCTGCAAAAACATGATTGAATTTGGATGAACAAAAAGAAAAAGACAAAAAAAGAAAAGCATTTTAGTGGTTTATATTGCACTTCACCAATACATACAGCCAGATCCACAGCATAGTTAAAATAGTGTATTTGGGTTTAAACTAATTTAATCTCATTCATTTGGACAAGGTTTGTTTTAGCTTGTAGATTGGGAAACAGAACTATGTGTGTGTGTGTGTATTCTATTTAGCGACATCACATTTTCTTGCTTGTTAGTGCAGATTATATTTTCTATACAGTAAAAGTGTTCTTTATATTTTTAAACCTACATGCAGGATGTAAACACATTCTGTATTTAAACATTTATTGGTTCTGTCAAAGAGTATGCTCACTAACTTTCACAAATGTCCTGTTCACCAGATTTGGAATTAAAGTGGAGGGCTATGAGGGAAGAGAAAACAAACTCTTTGCAGTATCATATCTGTACCTTCTCAGCATCTATATGTGTGTGTGTGTATAAATACAATTACATCCATTAGTAAAACATAATATCTGTTTGGAATATGAACCTTATTTGTGATTTTAAAAAGTTATTTAAATTCTTATAAATGGTAAAATTATATAATATTATATTCTGGGGAAATCCTATTAAGGAACAACAAAAAGAGCCATTTATGCTAAACCTATTAAATAAAAGAAGGCACAAATTATAACATTTTAGCATCTAGAATACACACACACACACACACACACACACAGAAATTAAGCAATCACTTTATACATTTAGGAGATTAAAACCACAATTATTTTGCCCTTTTACAGATAAAACATCAATTTAGCAGTCGTATTTACATTCCCCCCAGTAACTGAAATATTGTGTATTTTTTTTTAAATGGGGGAAAACTTGATTCTGAAAAGTAATACTCTCACATCACACATACAAATCCATGCTGAATTAGTCTTCTTTGCACTGTCAGAAACTAAAATATCACTATGAGGAAATAAATCATTTATTTGAAGCCCATTCTGTTTTATGCCAGATTCTTCGAGCTGCATTCATTTCGAAGTATTGGTTTTAAGCTATAACGGTTTCAAACCTGTGTATCTTAAGGCCTGTTTTTCCTCCTGACCACTGAGATTTGGAAAAGAGGACAACTGCAGGTCCCATAATTCCATAGTGTGTTCTGTATTTAGGCCCAGCTCTTTGAAGTTCTCTACTTTGGGAAGCCTTCAGAGCCTAGTGTTACCAATATTCAGAGAAAGAGTTTTCATTTGAAAATGCATTCCATTTGATTTTGCTATGGTTAACTTTCTCTAGCTTTTACTGTGGCCTCTATTTTGTGGGTGTAATGTTACTGCAACAATTTTGACAACCTGGGATTTTAGGATAGATAAATCGGTAGATGTATGCTTTATGTCAGGCTGTCCAGTTACAGAGAATTTGCTTAATTTTTCAGACTCCCTGTATAAAAAATGAAGTGTAGCAACATCATTGTGGGTTCACTTAAACAAATTGGTTTGCAGTTTATTCCAGTGCTCATCTCATGCATGCAAGCAGAAACCATTTAGAACCCATCTAGCACCAATTTTAACAATTCGAATGACTCGAAATCAGCATACATGAAAGTATTTTATTTTTGAGATCAGTTTCTAATATTGCATTTAAGAACAAGTCTGTTTTCAAGGATTCACATGTAAGATTTGACTTCCCCTTCCCCCATGGATACTATCTATGTTTACTCAAAAGTAAGGCATTCAGTTCAATGGAACTCACTCCCAAATAAGTAGATATAAGATTTCAATCTTGATGGGGTGTAAAGCAGTTTAAAATTTCTGAAAAAGGCAGGCAAACCTTATATAGGGCCTTAAACCTGGATCTTGTAATGTAATGTACTCACATGGCAAAGCTAAAAACACACAGGTCAGAATTTGTTCCTGTCTTCTAAATAATGAAAGTACATATTGATGGAACTTATGGAAGAATATAACAAGTGATGATCAGCCTAAGACATGAAGCAAGTTCCACTGATTTTCAAGTAAATGTTTGTTTGGTCTGGAATACCAATTTGGTCTG